GGGTGGCTCAGATGGTTAAGCGTCTGCCTTCGGCTCAGGTCATGATCCCAGCGTCCTGGGATTGAGTCCCGCAATGGGCTCCCTGCTCAGCGGGGAGCCTGCTTCTCCCTCTGCTTCTCTCTCTGTCTCTCATGAATAAATAAGTAAAATCTTTAAAAAAAATAAAATAAAATAAAATCCATATATCCCATGATCTAATAGTTCGACTTCCAGGAATTCATTCTACAGCAATAAGGGCACAAGTCCATAGAGACATGTGTGTCATGATGTTCCCTGAAGTATCCTTTCTCTTGGCAAAAGTCAGAAACATCCTGAATGCCCAGCAAAAGGGGAATGATTAAATTATTAGCATCCATATAGTGCAATTTGGAGGAAGAAATGATACAGTGATCTCTACAATATTCATGACATATTGTTGTGTGAAAAAGTGCAACTAATAAGAATAGTAGGATTCCATTAAAAATGTGTATGTATATATCATAAAAAATAGTCTGTGAGGACAACCTTATGTGTCACCAGTAGCTACCTCTGGGGATAGAATACATGTGTGTGGAGGGGAGGGGGACATACTTTATGACTTTTAATCAGTAGGTAAAATGGGAGTTTTAAGGTCTAATCCCAGTATCAGTTATAATTTTCCATTAAATACCACTTTACTAAGCTATACCTTTCCTTGTATGCAGTTCCCTTATATATTATATATTCCGTTTCTAACCTAAAGGTAGATACAAAAAAAAAAAAAAACCCCAAATAACTCTCCTTCCATTAATTTGGCCTTTTATCCCCACTTCATGACTGGAACTGCCTTATTACTTTTTAAAGAGTTGACAAATGAAATTTTATGTGATTTGATGGCAAAGATTTTGGTTGAACAAACTTCATTAAAGTGTAAGAAAAAGCTGAGTTTAGCTGCCTGAGCAAAGAGCTCAGATGTTAATAGAATTCCAGGCCCTCTCAATTACTTCCTTGTGGGGGTGGAAAGAGTTTGGGGGAGGTCAGCGGGGAGTAAAATGAGGCACTGCAGGAAAACTGTTGAGCACTGCATGGCCCATGAGAGTGGGGGTGGGGGTGAGGAGGTAATCTATAACTGTCAGCCGCCATCACTGTTGTTTATATACATCACACTCATTTATAACAATGATTTAGATGCTCTTAATAACATTAAAGCATTAAGAGAGATTGTTTTATTAGTCTTGATATCCCCAATGCCTAGCCAAGGTGCTCAATAGATGTCTGTTGAATCAAATAATTGACATGTGTAATAAAATCATAATAGTGCCTACCTCAGGGGGTTGAGGATTAAATGAGTTATATGAATCAGTCTTTTAGAACAGTACCTTGCATGTACGAAGTTTTATATAAGTGTTTGCTGTTAGAGGTCCTCAGTTTCTTGTTACTAAAGTAAAATCTCAAAGTAGTCTAAAAATTCTGGTTTTATAATCCATTTGGCAGCAAAACCTGACCTGAGCTATTCAGTTTTTATTTAATCCCACTTAGAGTGAATATTTTTTTGACTGCAGAAATATTAAGATATTTAATTAGAGTGGCTATCCCAAATCCTACTGGAGGCCCTATATCATACACAGTATGTGCACCACATTATCTTCCTGAAATGTCAAAAGCTTCTAATTTCTAAAATACACGTGCTAGTAAGGACTTTGCATAAGGGACTGTGGACCAGTGTTACTACCTTTGAAAGATCTTGTAATGTAGGTTTCAGTAGCATAAACAGGGGTATTTGGCTTTGAAGAAAAATGAGAACAAGAAAAATGGATCTGTTAAAAGGTGACCTCTGAACTTTCAAAATACAGATTAAAACCAGCTGACTAATTAGCTTTTAATAAAATAAGTGACCTTTAGCTTGCCTTCCCCCCAGTTACTCCCCTTCCATTCTTACACTGGGAAAATGATCTTCCTCCAGTCAAGGCTACTTCTGTCCCCTCCTGCTGCCACCTCAGGGAACCTCACTACCCTCTGCACTTCTTCCTTACACCTTCAGCTTCTCCTCTACCAGCTTGAATCGTTACTATTTGAACATGCTTAAGTCTCCTCCATTATAAATATTCCCATGATATCCAAAGTTCTCCGTCAGTAGACACCTTATCCTCCTTTTCTTGGAACATGTTATACATCTACTGTATCTTTTTCTCTGTTTCATTCCTCAATTCATGACAGCGTGGCTTCTGCTCTCACCACTGCACTGAAATTGCTCATCGAGTTCATCAACAATATTAAAGGACCCTTTGAGGATCTTACTTCACCTCCTTGCAGTAGCAAGCAGTGTTCAACACTCCTTGATGCTTCATCTATCCTTTAAGCAATATCAATTGCTCCTTGATGCTTGGCTTCTATTCAGATCCCTTCAATTACGTACTCTACACTCTCCTTGGATGTTCCCATTTACTCCCATTGATGTAAATGACAATTTCCAAATCTACATCTGCAGCCCAGCTTTCTCTCCTCAACTTCAGACACTGTCTATAAGACATCTCCATTTTGATGTCCCTCGGGTGACCAAACTCTAGCTGAAACTGGATTTATGTTTACTCCCAAACCTGTACACCCACACCTCCTGGGTTCCCCATGCAGTGAATGGCACCAACATCTGGCCAGTTGTCAAAGAGCCTGGGAGTCAACTTCAACTCTTCTTTCTACTTCACCTCTTTTATAAATTCAGTCACCAGGACCTGCCAATTCAACTTCCTTAAATGTCCCTAGAATCTACCATCATGATCATCTCACTTTCAGGCCATAGTCATTTCTAGCACAGACTACTGCATCAGATCCTTTATAGGGTTCTGCCTCCTGTTTGACCTTGGCTAATTCATTTTCAGTAGTGCAACCAGACAGGTTTTTCTTAACTCAAATGGGATCATGGCTCTCCCCTCTTTCCTAAAACCCTCCACAGAATCCAAGTGTCATCAAAATAAAATCCATACACATTCGGAGAGCCTTGTGTCTTACAACTCTCTTCCTCATATTCTATCAAACAATCAACAAATGTTTCTTGAGTGCCTACAATGTGGTGAGCATGTTCTGGGATCTGAGGATACAGCAGTGAACCAGCCAAAGCTTCACGCACCAAGGAGTTTATAATCTAGTAGTTAGGGGTTGGGGACTCACAAAAACAAAGTAAAACATTCCAGGTTTGAATAACTGTTATAAAGGTGGTGTAGAGAGTGCTTTGTCAGTTAGCATATTCTGGTATCATTTTAGCTGAGAGATCTGAATGTCCTAGCCAAAGGTAAGCCCAGCACACTCCTACTCATCTTAGTTCTCAGCTGAGACCCCTTTGGGGACTTTCTCTCATGTCATGAGTTTGGGTTGGCAGCAATTCCCAGATGCTCCAAAGCACCATGTGCTTACCCTGGGAGTTCACTACCTGTGGGGTCAATGCCTATTACTTGACTGACTTCTCCCCCTACAGGGACTGGACAATTTGTACCTGGCCACATAACAAAAACCAGTAGTTGCCTGAATTTCTCAATCGATATTGCTTAAAGGATAGATGAAGTAATTAATAGCATTCAATAATTTTCCTGGCCCAAAGGCCCAGTTAATTTTGAAGTGGGAAATTGTGAAAAGGTGTGTGGCTGACTGAAATGAGGAAAGGCCACATAAAACACTTTATTCATGACTTCCACTTGCTTTATTATTATTAATGTGAATAATAAGGCATAAAACTCAATACCTAGATTAAATTAATCATGATTTTCAATGTGTGCTTCTCTGCTATTTTTTATTCCCAGGCTCTGTAAAAATAAGTAGCCTTTCCTATGGGGAAATTTTGAAACATGAAGTCAAAGACCTCTTATATAAAACCTAGTTCCTTAACTGTTTTACATATTCAACTTCTGAAGAAAGTTAATGACTGCACAATTATCTTCCTTTTTAGCCACATGGATTTCTGTGTGTAGAGTGGGCATTTTCCAAGGCCTTTTATCTGTTTTTAATTCTAAACTCGGGATTGAAAGTAAACATGAAAAACATATTTTTAGGCATGGATATATGCCAACTAACTTTCTGCTAGAGAGATTATATCTGCCCAAACTATTCTTTGTTTCATGATTCAGCTTGTCAGCCACTCCAAAGTAACTGAAAGATGCTTCTGAGGTCATGCAACATCTTCCAGATCAAAGATAAGTGATCCCTGTCCATGATCTGTATTAAAAAAAAAATCTACAAGTCTTCCCCTGAGGTGCTGTGAAGGCTTCCGGTCACACAAACGTTGCAGCGTGACCGTGCCTACTGTCCTGTAATTCTCCACCACTGGCATGTAAGTCCCCTTCCATTATGATGGTTTACATATGAATGTGTCTGGAAAACTCAAGAGATGAAAGAGAAGTAAAAGTAAATAAGAAGAGATGACAGGTCATTCCTCCAACTGAGGACAATCAACTTCTAAGGTTTTAGTGAACACCATGAAGGAAGCACTGAAGCTTCCTAAATCTCAGCAAAGATTGAATTTTTATAAACCTGGCATCAATATTTTCTATTTAATGTCAGCCTGTCACACTAGCACAGCATATTGATTAGACTGTAGCTGATAGAGAATATCAAATTCAACTCTGCTTCTCTGGGGTCAGAACGTTGTAGCCAGAACTCCTCATTTTGGTTTTAGAGGGATGAAGTCAGCTAATATATTTATATATTCACCCTTACCTTCTATAAAGGCAATATTTCTAAGTCCACCTAACTAGAGTTAGTCTATTTGCTTTTGTCTCATTAGGTCTGTGATTCTATTTTAGTTTATTGGATTTTGCTGACAGGTATTTCAAATCCTATGTCTTTGTACAAAATAAAAGTTAATTGCTTTGCTTGAGTAGTTGAAATCTTAATGAGCCAAGACAGAGAGTCAGACATGTGGATGAAGGTGAGAAAAAACAGCTTAGAATTTAACACAGACAGGTAAAACAACTGTCAAGGAACTATCTTAACAATGATGATGAGAACAAGGAAAGCTAGAAAGACGTAGGAAATTAAAAAAAAAAGTCACTTACCCTTAATTCTTCCTTTGTATTGAAACTATCAAGAAGTTGTTGATAATGTCTATCTGTCATTTGTCGTAATAAGGACAGGAGACAAGCAACAAACTCCCCCTAATTTAAAAAAAAAAAAAGGCATATTTTTTTTATTAAGAGTAAAAATGAACATCAGTAACTTACTTTGAACTGCCCTCAAATAGAACACTTAAAAAAACCCACTAGGATCTAAAGTCACTCTATGAAGTCTTTTAAATCTAAAGTAACAATATTATAATCCAAATTTCTCCCTGTGATGGCCATTTACTTGGTATATATGCATTTCCAAATTAGGAGATTTTTTTGTTTGTCTGTTTGTTTGACTTGTGTGGAAGCTTTTCACTAGGAAACTAACTTCACACACTTAAAGGAGGTAATAAGGCAATTTACTGAGCATTTACTCTACCTTAATTCATTATGTCATTTGAACCTCATTATCAGTGCTATGAGGTAGGGGGTATAATATTTACTTAAAGACGATAAATTGTACGTTCAGTGGGCTAAAAAAGTTGCCCGAAGTTACATCACTAAAAAGTAGAAGAGCTGAAGTTATCTATATGTCTTTCTGACTCCAAAGCTCTTCCTGTACCTCTTGCTCCATTTGTGAATTTACACAATCTCCTCCAACTCATCTGAGTTCTGGTCTGCTGATGGGCAGGGTATAGAGAAAGCCATATATTACAATGTTGGTTTCAAACTCCTTTTAAAAATAGCTTAATTGTGATCCTTTTCTGTTTGGGTGCCAAGTGATTGACTCCTAAAAAATCCATTCTTAAAAATTAATAATGAAAAAAAGAGCATCCATAGATTTGAAGACCTATGAAATCACTGTCACTTGCTTGCATTTCCCAAAGTACATCTAATTTAAAATAGTTATGCTCTAATGCAACATTTTTTGCTCAGCAAAAATATTTATCTACTTTTAATGGGAACAATAACATTTAAAACAATATGAACACAACAGGAGAAGCAATCAGTGGTAACTGATGGTAAATTTACAAAAATGTACTTTAATTGGGAATTGGTGGGGGTTGTTTTTTTTTGTTTGTTTTGTTTTGTTTTTTTTGCACTTACGTGTAAAGAGGCTATAGACTCACGTGTAAAATCAGGAATTGAAAGCTTTCATAATTGGGATTTTCTAACAGAGGCAGCTAAGTCAGGAAAGTCAAATGTATCCCTTCCAGCTGCCAAGGAAGGTCTGGAGGTGCTACCTAATCACCAGGTCAGGGTAACCAAAGATGCAGGCTGGCTTCTTGCATAAGGATAAACATTTGTAACACACAAGTATGGCAAATAATTATTTCCGCACACTTAATGGGACAAATATTTAAGAAACTAACAAGTAAGGGCTAGCAGAAATCTATCTTCTAAGCTCAACATAATACTTTGTTAACGAACAAAGAAACTCTTGGTACTTAACACTAGCTATGGAAAATTTAAGGGCACAGTGATTCATATTTTAGTGCATGTGTGTGAGGAAACAATCCAAGGCTAGGAAAATAATAAGCCAAAAGGAATGAGAGAATACCACCTGGTGCTCACACAAGACTGGGTATAATATCTTTTTTCCACCAGCAAAACTGGAAAAACCTTGCCATATCAGGGGATCAGAATACTAAAAAAGACCTTTTCTCAGTAACAGGGAAAAATTACACCTAGAATAAATGCTGCTCTGATTCTACCTAAGGAAGTTCATAAGCAAGATATGAAACAATTAAGTAGTTCCTAAGAATTTAACCTCATTCCGAAGCAAAGTTCAAAGATATTTCTAGGAATTTAAAAAATTTATTTTCAACAGCATAATATCCACGATGTCTGGCATTCAATAAAAAATTACCAGGCATACGAAGAAGCTGGAAAAAATAATGATGCAAATGAGGAGAAAAAAAAATCAATAAAAACAGACCCAGAAATGACATAAATAAACAGAATTAACAGTAAAAGACATTAAAATAGCTATTATTACCATAGTCTATATATTCAGGAAGCTGTAAGAAAGTTTGAACATGTTAATTTCAGACATGAAAGAAAGCAAAAGACCTAAATTGAGATGAAGACTATTATGTGTGTGATGAAAATTTACTTAATAGAACTAATGGCAGATTAGACATCTGCAGAAGACAAGATTACTGAACTTGGAGACAGTAGAAACTCTCCAAAATTAAATTAAAAAAAAAAAAGGAAATAAAAGAAAAAGCATCAGTGAACTATAGAACAACTTCAAGTAGCAGAATATATATGTAATTGGAGATCTCAAAGAGGAGGAGGGCATAGAAAAAGTAATTGAAAAAATAAGGGGAAAAATTTCAGATTCTCTGAAAACTATAAACTTAGGTATTAAAAAATTTCAACAATTCCTAAGCACAAGAAACATGAAAAAAATACACAAAGGTGCATTATAATAACATAGCCAGAGATAAAGAGAAAATATTAACAACAGTCAGTGAAAAAAAGACACATTACATACAGAGGAACAAAGGTAAGGATGAGATATACCTCATTAGAAATAATATAAGCTAGGGGCGCCTGGGTGGCTCAGTCGTTAAGCGTCTGCCTTCAGCTCAGGTCATGATCCCAGGGTCCTGAGATCGAGCCCCGCATCAGGCTCCCTGCCCCGCGGGAAGCCTACTTCTCCCTCTCCCACTCCCCCTGCTTGTTTTCCCTCTCTCACTGTGTCTCTCTCTGTCAAATAAATAAATAAAATCTTTAAAAAAAAAAAAAGAAATATTATAAGCTAGAAAACCATGGAGCAACACCTTTAGACTACTGAAAGAGCAAAAACAACTATCAGTCAAGACTGTGTTAACCAGCAAAAATCTTTCAAAAAGAAAGACAAAATACTTTTCAGACATTCCAAAGCTTAAACAGTACACCACTTCTATTCAACATTATACTGAAGGTTCTTGCCAGTGCAATAAAACAAGAAAAAATAATAAAGGAATATACATTGGAAAGGAATAAAAAAACTCTTTATTCACAGACAATATATTTGTGTATATAGAAAATGCTATCAAATCTATAATGAGCTACTAGAACTACTTAAGTGAATTAATCAATGTCTCAGAATATAAGATCAATGTACCAAAATCAATTTTACTTCTACAGATGAGAAATAGTCATCGGAAACTGAAATTTACAATAACATAATTTATAATACCACTGAAACATGGAAGTACTTAGTGATATATAGGACAAAAGATCTGCACACTGAAAATCATAAAACACTGATGAGAATAATTAAAGAAGACCTAAATAAACAGAATACTATGTTCACAGATTAGGAGATTTAATATTGTTAAGATGTCAATTCTCCTCAAATTGATATACAGATTCAGGGTAATCCCAATCAATATCACATCAGGCCTTTTGTGGGGTAGAAAGTGACAAGCTGATTTTAAAATTCATATGGAAATGTAAAGGACTTAAAATAGTGAAAACAGGGGCGCCTGGGTGGCTCAGTCGTTAAGCGTCTGCCTTCGCTCAGGTCATGATCCCGGGGTCCTGGGATCGAGCCCCGCATCGGGCTCCCTGTTCAGTGGAAAGCCTGCTTCTCCCTCTCCCACTCCCCCTGCTTCTTTTCCCTCTCTCGCTGTGTCTCTTTCTGTCAAATAAATAAATAAAATCTTTAAAAAAAAAAAAAAGAAATAGTCAAAACACTGTTCAAAAAGAATAAAGTTGAAGGACTTATACTATGTGACTTCAAGACTTATTATAAAGTTCTGGTAGTCAAGATATTGTGTTATTGGTGTCAAAACAGAAAAAAATAGATAAATAGAACAGAAAAGCCCAAACCAAAAACAACCCAAATGTCCACCAAAAGGTGAACGAATAAAGAAACCATAGTATATCCATATAATGTAACACTATTCAGCATTAAGAAAGAATGAACTATTGATACACACAACAACAATGAAGAAACTCAAATAATTATACGGAGGGAAAGAAGTCAAAATGTCACCACCCCCCATCAAAAAAAAAAACCTAATAGTAACTATGTACTGTATGATTCCATTCCTATAAAATTCTAGAAATGCAAACTTACCTGTAGTAACAGAAAGCAGGTCAGTGGTTGCCTGGGGATGAGGTAGTATGGGGGGGCAGGAGGGAGAAAAGAGAGTGGGGCACAAGCAAACTTTTGAGAGTGATGGACATGTTATTTATCTTGATTGCGATGATGGTTCACAGATATACACAGATGTCAAAACTTACCAGCTGTATACTTTAAATATGTACAATTTTTTGAATGTCAACTACATCTTAATAAAGCTTAAAAAAGGCATTATGACAACATTTATGGAATGGAACTATGTGTAAGTTATAGTATTTTTGATTATACTATCAAATTCATTCCTTGTTGGGTGGACACTATTAACTTCATTTTACAGTAAGATCTGTTAAGGTTGTTATTTATCCCAGGTTTCACAGTTAGAAAATGGTGAAGCTGGGATGTGAAGCCAGGTATCTCTGGTTCTTCTACCTACTGCTCAGACTGATTTGATTTTATAGAGGAAATATACCTGAGTTTGAGGTCATAATTCAAATATAAATAGGCATATAAAAATCTATGAGTTGATAACCAATGTCTGAGTTTTTAACCTCTCTATTAAGTCTCAACTTAAAAACGCAAATCTACTTAGTAGAAACCCATTTCATTTCTCATCTCTTAGTTCTTCTACATCCTAGCTACACTATCTCTAATATAGCTACTATCTTAGTATTCTTAAAATGTTTATTCCTAAAACATACCATCCTGTGAATAGTGACATACCTTGAAGTAAGAAGAATTACATATTATTGCAATAATTTTAGTAATGAGAAGAAAAGTTATTAAAAAATAGACTTTCATTACATATTTATAGTCAGTGTACATAGGAACACTTCTTTGAATCCAGGTTACTATCTATATTTGTCACATCTGGTGTAGACTGCAAACAACTTATCCTGCTATCTAATCTTTGGCACATTTATGATGTGTTGTTAATCCGAACATCTACTCTGCAATGTCATTTTATGTATTCACTTAATCTATTTAGGAACTCTAAGCACATTTAACCTGTTAAGAAGCCTAGATA